CAGACACACGTGATTCACATCCCAGCTCTGCCATTATTGTTAGTGTGAAACCCAGGACTTACCCCCTAGCAGAATGACACGTTATAGCTTTCCAAAAACCCCACACAGTTTTGCAGATTTGTTTCATGTGCAAATCTTTTTTCCTGCTTTATTTGGTATTAGTTATTAGATACGTTTGTTTTCCTTTTCTCCAATACTACTGTATTAGAGTAAGGTCATTTATGCTACAATAACAAACCCCCCAAATCTCAGTGGCTTCAACAATACCAATTGGTTTCCTGCTCATATCATAGCCGGACCTGAGTCAGGATGTTTTCTCTCGCAGACAACTCAGGGATCCTGGCTCTTTCCATTGTGTGGCTACTCTATCTCAGAATCCTTCTCTTCTGGACCCATGTTAGAGTGGGAGTGTAAGATTTCACAGGATATTTTTATAGCCAGCCCGAGAAGTGGTATATATAACGTCTATCCACATACCAGTGGCCAGAACCAAATCACATTGTCCTACCCAAATTCAAGGCTGTAGACTTCCCAGGAAGAGGAAGCAGGATTGGCAAGTAAGCATCTAGTCTGTCTATGACAATCACATTTCCTAGTTGGTGTGCGCTGAAAATAAAACCGACGATGGTATTTATTATAATCAGCATAATAATATTAAGCACTTACACGCCAAGCATATTATTAGCTCTTTTCATGGGTTATCTCATGTAATTTAATGCTCACAACAACTTTATGAGGTTCCAAATGGCTCGTGTAGAAATAGCTGACGGAAATGTGGTGGTAGAAATACCGGTGTCAGCAATTATTCATTTAATTTTTGTTTGTCTTTTACATTCCCCAGGGCAACTGCCCAAGTTAGGATGTTAAAATAGTGTCCTGGTGCTGTCTTTAATGCATATGTTTAAAGAAAAACCATTTTGTAGTAGAGTCAAAATGCTAGAGGCTATGAAGCACTCTGACATGAGCAGACTAAGGTCTTCAATATTAAGACAAGATAACTATAAATATGGTTAATATGACATGGACAATTATAAGGGAATTAAGAGAAATCTACTTGAATTCTCTGATTCCACTGAACTGAAGTTGATTCACAAAGACATCACCTGGCTGATAGAGACTGGAAGAAAGTTGTGGAAGATGTAGCTCGTGACAAAAGATCTAGAGCTCTCTTTCTGGCTTTAGTTTTCCCTCTTTCTTAATGCATCTTTGTCTTGTCACTTGATGATGACTTTTGGCTTCATCCCCAATTTCAGATCCTACAACCACAATAGATCTTTCTGCTGCCTAGGTGCTGATGGTTGGCTCTACTCCTTCGTGTCATCCTACGTAGACCCACCAACAGACAGAGCCTCTCCCTGTGGATTCTCCAGTGTTTCTTCCATCCAGTGGGCTTTGTACCCACTCTCCTGTTTATGGCTGCCCCATCCCCACCAGCCTCCCACAGATAGAGCTCAACATTCAGTAAGGGCTAGAAGAGGCTGCTAGAAACTGATAAGGAGAATTAATAGGTTTTAAGTCAAAATGGGGAAGAAAGGAGTAAGAGGGAGGGAAAGTCAGTTGGTAGTTAAGGGAACAAAAGGTCAGGAGCATCAAAAGGAAATGCCTTGCACTCTTAACTCATGGTCAGCAGAAATTTTTTTTTTAAATTTTATTTTTTATAAACATATATTTTTTTTCCCCAGGGGTACAGGTCTGTGAATCGCCAGGTTTACACACTTCCCCGCACTCATCATAGCACATACCCTCCCCAATGTCCATAATAACCCCACCCCCCTCAACCCCCTCCCCCCAGCAACCCTCAGTTTGTTTTGTGAGATTAAGAGTCACTTATGGTTTATCTCCCTCCCAATCCCATCTGTCAGCAGAAATTTTTAAAAAGGGAAGCTTTACTTGAATTTAGAGTCTAGACACTAACTGCAAATAAAGTTGTCACCAAGAAAGGAGACCATTAAGTGAGAAGCTGTACATGCACTATTTTTATTTTTTACAGTAGAATTCCCTTTGAGAAACCAGGGGAAGACTCCAACTGTCAAATGAGAGACAGTCTCTGTTCGTGCAAGGGGTGGTCTCAACCCTTGTAGAACTCTCCAATTGTATGACCCCCACCAGACTTGCCAAAGAACCAATGCATGCTTTGTTTCTGGGCTCGCTCTTTTTCATATTAAGATGTTGACATCATCCAAAGGCATCCACAGTGTGGTTGATGTGAACAGAAGGCATTTCCAAGGAGTAAAAAAGAGGTACTTCATCCCCTGGTTGAACATAGCTGAAGGGGGATGTGAACATTCTGCTCTTCCTCTATAGGGCTTGAAGCTGGAGTCAGGAAGCCCCTCACAGTTACAAGCGCTGTGTTAAGCAGCTATAAAAATGCATATCCACTGAGCTTTTCTTGCTCTGGGCACTAATGATCTTGGACTGTTAACAGCCACTTTCTCTCCTGATAAAACTCTGCCATAGTCAGTAACTTAGCTTGGATATGGAAGTAACCTTCGGAAGTAGGATGACATGTTCCTGTTTGTAAGAGAAAACTCTAACACACTTTTCTTGACCTCTAATTCACATGAGAAAAGCGCAACACGTCTAAGAATGAAGAATTTCTTGGGAATTAAAAGACAGCAACAACTCTCAGAGACTGCATTCAGATGAAAACTTCTTGTCTTTCAAGTGTGTGTGTGTGTGTGTGTGTGTGTGTGTGTGTGCGCGCGCGCGCGCACAGTACAAGTCCAGTCCTGGACTTATAACCTAGTTTTTCTGCGTGGTGGGGGTTGTAGAGGGAAGGTAGAAGATCAAAGGTTAAATGGAGTTGATGAACCATTGTGAGATGTGTCATACGTAGAGTTGTTACTTGGGACAATGTGCATAAAGTCAATCCAGCAGTTAAGAACGGCCATCAAACCCTGAGCATGCACATGGCATATAATAGACATTCGATTTCTCAATCATTGAGAAACTTTCTAGAAGTCTGGAATCACAGGGACTTTGCCTTGATTCCTTTTATTGTGGGTCTGTGACCATAAATGTCTCTCCTTCTAAAAGAAAGAGGTCTCTTTGTCTCTCCTTGGTCCTTGCTGTGAGCCCACTTTCTCTCCCTAAGCTCTAAAAACGATGCCAGATTGAAGGTCTCCTGTGGTCCAGCAGATGTCAGTGTGGCCTCACTGGAGGACCAAGGAAACTGGGCTACACCAGACTGCCTGAAGGAATGGATGAAAAGGAGGGTCCGTGTGTTTCACAGGTCATCTCAGAAGGAGGCAGGAAGGAGGAAGCATCCAGAAGATACCTAAGATATCTGGGTCGATTTCCATTTTGGGAGGGTACACTATCAATTTGAAGAGATTTGTACAGACACATACTTTTTAAACAAACATTAATTAAGAGATGACTGTGGGTAGGGAATGCTACTAGGTCCTAGAGATACAGGATTCAGTGTAGCTCCTTCCTATCCTCTGGAACTCCCAAGTTACTTGTTGGCTGTCCGCCTGTAGTGATTAGCACTTGACCTAATAGCATAGGAGGCATATATTATTACGTGTTGAATGAATGAAGTGAAACGAGTGCATGAAAACAAAAATGCCTAGGTGTTTGTGTCCCAAGAACCATCCAAAAAGGAAGCTGGAAAAAACATTGCCAGTTGGGGAACAAAGGAAACCCTAGGAATGAACCAAATGATAGGTAGTGATGTTGATAAGAAAGAGGGGAGGAGGGGGAATCCCTGGTGTGTGCAAGAGGAACATGAGCCGGAAGGGCAGTCACTAGGCAAGAGGGATGAGCCCTGGATCATTGCTGCTCGGGAGGGGCCCAGCTGTGGTCCCCCACAGCAACAGCTAGAGCGTGGCGTGCTCCCAAGGTGCAAAGTCTGGCTCTAGATGGTTCTCTTGCCACTGCATGCATGTGCCATCTCGTGCCCTTGGACAAACCGGGTTGCCACGGGAGGCAGATACCGTCAGCAGTCAGAATGACTGGCTTCCAATCTTGGCCTCACCATTTGGCCTGTATATGACCTTGTGCAACCGACTTCACCTCCCTAGAGAGCTGGAATCCTTGTCTACAAAGCAAGGATTTTACTAGGACCCATGTCATGGAGTCGTGTGAGGATCAAATGAGATCATCCATAAAACCACAATTATCAGAGTAGCTGGCATGTATTTAGCGTGAAATAAATATTAGTTATTATTTGTTTGTCTAACATCCATAAAATGAGAGTAAACCAGTCAAATTTACAAGGCCTCTTACAGATTAAAAAAAAAAAAAAGATCCTGATCTCTGGTTTCATACTTCTACTTCCATTTCTGTACTAAGATGGAAGTGTGTGGAATACATACAGGTGAGCCAGTTTTCTTAAGCAAGAAGGAGGAAGGCCAGGAAGGTGGATGGCTAAGCAGAAATGTAAGTGAGTGGCTTACTGTGTGTTTGTGGTAAGAAACACCATGCACTTCACAGCTAAGTCGGTGTATGACCTCCTTCCCCTCCATTTCAAGCAAAAACAACATTATTTTATTTTATTTTTTTTTTTTATTTTATTTTATTTGAGAGACAGAGAGAGCAAGTGCACAGGTGTGTGGCGGAGGCAGGGGGAGGGGCAGAGGGAGAGGGAGAGAATCTGAAGCAGGCTCCATGCCCAGCACAGAACCCAACCCGGGGCTCGATCTCATGACCCCAAGATCATGCCCTGAGCTGAAACCAGAGTCGAACACTTAACTGACAGAGCACCCTGGAGCCCCTCTCACATCTTACGTAGCTTGGACAAGCTGAAAGAAAATCTGAAAACAAAATGAAACAAAATAGGGGTTCTTTGTCTAACAGACTCGCTGGCCTGACCTTCCAGTCTTCCTTAGAGCTCACAGGACTTGCTTCCTCCCTTTCTGCTGTTAAGCTCCACACCTGGGAGTCTTCTGGCTTAATAATTAACGAACCTTCCTGTTCCCACGTCACATGCTCCATGGTCACCCCAGGTTCAAGAGTAAGGGCTCTCTCCTTCTTTACCTTTCATAGCATCAGGAACATCCAGATCTTTTAAACTCCGGGCTCCTCTCACGGTTTGGTGCACACACAGACACCTCTTCAAAGTTGAGGTAACAGATCAAATGTCCTTCTTCTTTCTTCTTTTCTCCTCCTCCTCCCTGTCCTACCCAGCCCAAGTCTCATCCACTCAGGCTGGACCTCAAGAGCTGTCCCTAGCTCCCTTCCTCAAGTTCGTATCATCAATCAGCCTTTGTGGACCCAGGCATTTCAGAGTTCAGGGAGAAGCAAGTTTAATATTTAGTCCCAAGGGAGCAAGGGGAATTTAGAGTGAGATATGGAGTCCCAGGAGGCAATAAAAGAAGGTCACAATGGCCCAATGACAGGCGAAGGAAAAGGGAGCTGTCAAATCCGGGATGTAAGCGCCCAAGACGCTTTGCCAAGGGTTTTACAGTGCGCTCCTTTCTTCTGCTCCAGGACGTGCGTCAGATGTCCAAGGCAAGCAGCAGCCTGTGCCTCCACTCTCCGCCTGCCCAAAGCTTGTGCTAACAGAAGCACTAGCGGGTGGTTTCGCTTGCATAATTCCCGCATGAATCTCCTAAGCCTCTAGACTTAGGAAGCTGCCCACAAAAGACAAACAGAATGATGTCTCAATTACGGTTTGCTCAGGAAACCTTTATAACTTCTTGATAATCAAGACGGAGTTGCTGGTGTACCTGAGAAAGAGCGTTTGGCCTGGGACACAAGGCACGCCCATTGATTACTTTCACTGTTTTCTTTTCTTTTTTATTATTTATTTATTTATTTTTTTAAAGATTTTTTTTCATTTGACAGACAGAGACCACAAGTAGGCAGAAAGGCAGGCAGAGAGAGAGAGGGGAGGAAGCAGGCTCCCTGCTGAGCAGAGAGCCCGATGTGGGGCTCCATCCCAGGACCCCGGGATCATGACCTGAGCCCAAGGCAGAGGCTTTAACCCACTGAGCCACCCAGGAGCCCCCTTTCACTGTTTTCTTAACAGGCTATCAAACTGCCGGGAACCTGATCAGGTGGTAAATGGATAATACGCAGTGTTGTGAAATTACTCGGTATGAGATCTGGAGTTTCAAAGATTATGTTTGGTAAGTTATTTATATGTAATTTTTGGTTTCAAAGTGAGGCAGCTGAGTAACTATCCAAAGCAGAAGGATTTTTACTCTGTCCCAACATACAGCCACAAATCCAGAGCTGTGTTTTCTAATCAACCTGGGAAAATCCTTGCTCTGCAGCACCCGAGGAGTATAACCAAGGTGACAGAGTGGGTGATTTCTTTTAATGTACTCAACTGAGTATAGTGATGATCATATATATTTTTCTAACCCATCTATTATCCAGTCTACGGTAAAAACTAAAATGTACATGGTTGGTGATGAAGATATATATGTATAGACAATCTTATGAATTAGTGTGTGTCACCATGGCTGAAATTAGCATGATATAGTAATATTAATAATAATCGGGGTGCCTGGGTGGCTCAGTGGTTAAGCCTCTGCCTTCGGCTTGGGTCATGATCTCAGGGTCCTGGGATCGAGCCCCAAATTGGGCTCTCTGCTCAGCGGGGGGCCTGCTTCCCCCTCTTTCTCTGCCTGCCTCTGCCTACTTGTTATTCTGTCAAATAAATAATAAAAAATCTTTAAAAAAATAAAAAGATAAAGTCTATGATACCTAATTTTTTTTTTAAAAGTAATAATAATAATAGCTATCAGTCGTTATTTTTAAAGTACTATGTGCCAGGCACTGTACTAAGACCCTTCAATGTATTAACTAATTAATCTTCATAATAACCTCCTGAGATGATTATATCATTTAAAAATGAGAAAACCGGGGCACCTTGGTGGCTCAGTGGGTTGGAGCCTCTGCCTTCGGCTCGGGTCATGATCCCAGGGTCCTGTGATCAAGCCCCACATCGGGCTCTCTGCTCGGCGGGGAGCCTGCTTCCTCGTCTCTCTCTGCCTGCTTCTCTGCCTGCTTGTGATCTCTCTCTCTCTGTCAAATAAATAAATAAAATCTTTTAAAAAAATGAGAAAACCAAGACACAGAAAGATGCACTGAGAAGAGCATTGACTAAACATTCTGGGACCCAGGCTCCAGTCCCACATATACATTAGTTGGCATGGATTTGAGACAAGTCATAACTTCTCCAGATTTCATTTTCCTTTCTGTTTAGAGGGCAAAAAAATAAGACAAGCATCCACTTACTGGTTATTTATTATGGATCAGGCATGAGGATGAGTATTTTACTCGTGTTATCTCATTTACTCCTCACAGTAGTCAGACGGGGTCAGTGCTATAATCCCCATTTTACAGATCAGGAAACTGATACCTAGAGACATCAAGTAACTGAATGTGCTCTTGAGCGTGAGAATTAGAATCTGAATCTAGATCTCTAGGTCTCCAGATCCCGTGCTCTTAACCCCTATGACCTTTCCAGCCTTAGTACATTTGGACTTGCTGCTTCCTCTGCCTGCAATACTCGTCTTTGCTTCCTCTGCCTGCAATACTCGTCTTGATTTCTTTAAGCCTGACTCAGTCGCCTTCTTTAGGTATTAAGGCCAACAACCAGGTTTGCAAAGAGGCTTTGGCTCAGAGCTGTTGCACTGCATAACTCCAGGGGGCGCTATTCACATGGACCGTAATGAGAACGGTGCCTCACTGGAATTGAGGAGCACAGTTTTACTGACCACCCTGCTGAAATCCTGGTCACTCTCCATCACCCCATCTGGTTTCATTTACTTCTTAGCACTTACCCCTATCTAAAATGAACTGTTTTATTTATATAATTTATTTATTATCTGTGGCTCCCAAGGATACGTAAATTTCATGTGGACAGGGACCTTTATTATTTACTGTTGTTTGCCAAAGACTTAGTGACAGACCCATAGCACGTGCTTAATAATTATTGGTTGGATGTCCATAAATATGTCATACTGACTTCCAATAATCCTTGCCTCATTGGAATCACAGGGTTGTTACAGGATAAAAAGTTTCAAGACATCGAGGCATCATGAAGACACTAATGTAGTAAGTTAGGATTATAAATTGCCAATTACATTTTCTGTGCTTTAAATTTATGAGCTAATTAGGAGTCTCAGTATCATTGACCAAATAGACATTTATTTGACAAAAATTAAGAAGTCTCAGAATATCAAGTGTTGGAGAAGATAATGACAACATGTATCACTTTCATATTTTGGAAAGGAGTGTACAGTGACTCACCACTTTGGAAATTAGATGTGTCCTTGTAAAGTCAGCACTCACGTTTCCCATGACTCAGCACTTCTTCTCCCAAGTAAATGCCTAAGGTAAATTCCTACACTTATTTCCAGGAGTTGGTATAAGAATGTTCCTAACAACCCTACCAATGATGATGACAACAACAGTGGAAACAACCCAAATGCCCAATGACAAGAAAATAACTTGGGCTCTAGAAATTTGTGAAGCTGTGAAAAATGAATTAATGATGACTACGCAGAAAAATCTAGAAGAATCTTAGTAATATAATCCTGAACAAAAATATGCGAATCTCAGATTATATAAAACTTGATGCTCTTTTAATAAAGTTCATTAAAAAAAAACTAAACAATAATGAAAACAAGAGAATGGTAAAGTCAACACTGACTGCTGTGGTTATGTTGGGTAAGGGAAAGTGGCACACGGTTGTGAAGTTGTTGACTTTACCATTCTCTGGGTAAGTTGCTGTCAGTGTTCTGGTTCTTTGGTGAGATGGTGGTTTCTTGCAGTAAACCATGTGCTTCAAAACCATAATTTCTTATCCGGCCCCCCAACCCCTTCCATGGAGAGAACACTTCTAGAAGGCAGGCCCAAAATTGACTCATGGATCCAGGGTCATGTCTCCTCAGTTTTGTATTCCCAGGGCCTATATACAGTATCTAGCAAGACAGTCTCAGGGAGGTTTCTGGAAGGAAGGAAGGAAGGAAGGAAGGGAGAAAGGAAGGGAGGAAATGAGAGAAAAATGTAAAGTGTCTTTGGTTTATATTGAGTGTAATCCAATCACCCCATGCTTTACCTGCTCCCACACATACTGAATTATGTAATCAATTTCCTAATTAGTTGAAAATAAAAAAGAACTAACATTCTCCCAGAGTAGTAAACAACTACATAACATTTTTCCATATAGGCTATTCCACAATACTCATCAATATGGGGCTTTGTAGGGAGAAAATGATTCCAAATCAAATACAGTACAGAAAAAGCTTTTTAATGCACTTCTTTTTTTTCAGGCAAAAGAGCGTCAGAAAACATCCATCATTAAGTAGTGTTACAAATGGCACTTTTGGCTACATTAGAGAATTAGATATGAATCCCATGTGTTTTCTCTGATCGCTTAGTAGTAGAGCAACTTTATAATGCAACCCTTTCTTAGGATAAAAAAATGGCTAATTTGTCCTAAAAGACAGGAAAAGCTGTAAACCTAAAGTCACCACTTTAAAAATTTAACATTTATTTCATTATACAATCTATTTTCATATTATAATTTTCAGTATTATGCTACAATTCTTAAGAAGGGAAAACATAAATTTCAACCTAATTTAAAAATAAACATATAAATTAAGTACATATATTAATGCATTTGATAATATCATATGCTAACTTTGACGATGAACTTCATTTTGGTATGCTGCAGATTTGCCCTTTTGGTGTTGAACTAAGGAAAAGCATATTATACCTGAAATTCTGTCTTCGATGAGTAAAACAATGCTCAGTGATATCAACAGAATCTTACCAGTTGGTAAGACTGAAATGTTCCCAAGTTCTTCTGACGAAAATGAAACAGGATTAATACTCAACAGGAAAGAATAGCTAGTGTCAGTTTAAAATAGGTCTTGAGGGACACCTGGGTGGCTCAACCAGTTAAGCGTCTGCCTTCGGCACAGGTTATGATCCCAGGGTCCTGGGATCGAGCCCCACATGGGGCTCCCTGCTCAGCAGGGAGCCTGCTTCTCCCTCTCCCTTTGCTGCTCCCCCTGCTTGTGCTCTTTTGCTTTCTCTGTCAAATAAATAAAATCATTAAAAAAAGAAAGAAAAGAAAATAGGTCTTGAAAGTTGACTCTCATCACAAATATTTGAAAAGAGTATTTGGAAATGTGATACTATATTTTGAACGGAAAGCAATGATTCTTAAATTGTTAATTGTTAATTGCTACCACCCCAATGCTGTCACTTTTATAAGATGGCATGAAGCTGACTGCATTTCATCTACTCAAATATGGGTATCTTCTTCCGGTGACCTGCCATTTCTCAACTAGTCCCCTTAGCAACTTGTGCAACTATTCATCAGACATTAATAGTCAAACATCACACAATAGGACCGACCCAAAAGGCAACTGCATTTTTCTCTCTACAGCAGAGGTAACAAACGTGGCTTTCAAACTTGCATTGGTAGCATATACCACACTAATGAAGAAACCAAAGAAGATTTCCACCTCCGTCACACTAACACGAACACACGACACAAACTCCTGAAAAATCCAAAGTGTTTTCTCGGGGAACAACGAAAGCCATTTCAGGGACTCTCGGTGAGTGAAGTTACACACATGATATGCGTGTGCGTGGGCGCACACGTGCACACACACACACACAAATGTGCGTGCAAAAGAAAAGCTCTTAGGAGTATTGCTTACTGTTCATTTAGGATAATTCTTGAGGTTTCATTTAGAAGTGGAGTTCCTAAATTTTAAAGCAATTTGCCTGTTAAAATATCACAGAAGATACTTATTTTTTAATGATATTTCACAATCCATGGCCTGAGTTAATTAAAATGTAATCTTTCACCTTCACAGGTAGACAGCACTCCTTGTGTTTTATGAACACCCCAGAGGCAAAGGCCTATTTTCACCACATTTGTGTTTGCTACAGAAAGCTATCTTGTAAAGGACACGTCATTAGAAAGCAGAAGACTAGCGTCTAACCTGGGCTCTCTCCCTAGCAAGCCTCATGAGCTTGGGTGTGCCACCGGAACGTCCCACACTGAGCTGTGCTCATCAGTAAAATGAGGACAGGACACCGTGCTCTCCATGGCTCCATGTGGCACCATTAGTTTAGGATTTTCCAACTTTGAAGTTTTCATTAGGCACTGGGCTCTATTCACAACCTAGTAACGAACTTCTACCCAGTGTTTGGTCAATGATTTGCATCTGGAAAGCAGAACCTTTCAGTAACTAGGTAGCTCCTTGGTCCTTTATTCCATAAATGGTGAGTACCTACTCTTGGTGCATTAAAAGTAGCCATAAATTCTTTGCAGCTCCTTCCATCAAAGGGAGAGACCATTCCCCGCCTCTTGATTCTCAGCTAGTTTAGTGACTTGCTTTGACCAGCAACACGCTACGTAAGTATCCCTGGGTCACTCCCCAGGCAAGTCCATGAAAGGTCCTTGCAGTTTCCATTCTCGCCTTCTTTGATCTCATGAGGTGTGATGAGGAATCTTTGGAGCTCTGGGGAAAGGCCACATGGGGTGGAAGGAGACACCTCAGCCAAGAGCACCAGCCATCTGTGACACCCATGCACAGAGCCTTCCTAGACCACAAATGTTCATGGGAACCCACCCGGCACCCCCTGGACCAATGGCTGGCCATCCCGGCAGAGTTCTGCACCATTTGCCAACATAAAGGATCATGAGCACAGAGAGTGTTACGAGGCATATTGTGGGGTGGCACGCCAGCAGCCAGGGACAGCTGATACACTATTGTGTCACCACCTGCTGATGCTCAGAGTGTAGTGAGGGAGACAGATACGTGTCTGTCAGAGACGTCTGTCATACGTCTCTGACAGAGACGTGATGGACAACCTCCAAGTAAATATCATCAGTGCTGTAAACACGGGGCATTGATGCATAAGGGCCCATGGGAATTTAGACAAGGGGAGTCAAGCCCAGAAGTGGGGAGCTGGCAAAGATTTCTCAGAGAAGATAGTATCTAAGGGGAGTTACTTAGATTTCTCCAGGCAAAGACAGAGAGGTCATATTGCAGAGAGGAGAAGCTTATGTGGAAAGGCTGGAGGGAGCTCAGTAGTGTCCTGATGGGAATGGGAGCACTCTCTTTCATTACCATGCAAGGATGTCAGGGTGGGGGGTTGCCGAGGAGTAGCTAAGGCAAAGCTCTCTTGACCTTAACTAGAATTCTCTGGCATTTGGCCTTTAATCTGAGGGTGATGGGAGCCACAGGAAGAAATAGTTCCTCCCTCCTTTCTTTCCTTCCTTCTTTCCTCCTCTTCTTCCCTTCATATTCATTTGACTGAAGACATCAATAAACTCTGAATCAAAGAAATTCCACTGGCAGGAAGCTGAACGGAGTAAAGAAAGACAGATACTTCTCTGGGGCTTAGATTGGTTAAATGGAAGTGATACTATCCCAGGGCCCAAGATGATCGGCACTAGGACATGAGTACAAAGTACGGATGGCAGGCAAGAAGAAGATGCCATCGACAAAGGTGGTCCTCCTTCTTTTGAACTTAATGAACACCTGAACAGAGGCAGCATCTAAGACTTGTCTTTTAAAGATGTCCTAAGAACTTTCTGAGCTGAATCATAAGGTCTCCCACTCCCTAGTTGTGTGGCCTCAGGCACATGACTTATCTCTGTATGAATCAGCTTCCTCAGCTGTAAAATGGAGATAATGGCGATATTGAACCTCATGGGTCAGGAGGAATAAGTGATATATAGTTTTAGCACAGCGCTGGGTATAAAATAACCCCGCAGCAGTAGGTCCCTAAATGGGGAAAGGGAAAGGCTGGGGGAGGGGCGGTAACATGGGCTCTAGCATTAAACAAACCCATGTTTGAATCTTAGCAGATCTTGCAGCAGTGAGAACACAGATGTTGAAGTTTGCTTACACTTAGTTTCCATATCTGAGAAATGAGGGTGATAATACCCTTCTTGGAGGTTTGGGTTTTTTTTAAGAATTTATTTATTTATTGTCAGAGCGACAGAGAGCAGGTGTGCGCAAGCAGGTGGGGTGGCAGGAAGAGGGAGAAGCAGGCACCCCGCCAAGAAAGGAGCATGATGCGGGGCTTGATCCCAGGACCCCGGGATCAAAACCTGAGCCAAAGGAAGATGCTTCACCCACTGAGCCACTCAGGTGTCCCTTGGAAGATTCTGATGGAGATTCAAAGAGATCACATACATTAAGTGCCGTAGCACAAAGCCTGGCATACAGTATAATCGCACATACACACAGAATCGCTACTAGTTCCCAAATGGAGATCGACGGTACTAACGTTAGACATTCTATATTACTTCAGAATCCTATTCTCTGACTAAAGCTAAGATCAGAAAAGCTGGATTACCAGAAACATATATATGTAACATCTGTAGCATGATATGTCCATTTTACTAGTACCAACACATTAAGATAACCTATCACAAAAAGAATGGCTGAGGTACAACATTCATATTTCATTGTTAATACGTGATAAGAAAGTAACCTGGTTGTTCAGAATGCATTATATGAAATCAAGAATGTGGCATTCCCTGACTATCTAATTTGGCACTTTGAGGAATTTCCTCGATACACCAAGCCCCCAAATGCATTCTTTTCTAAACCAAAAAAAGAAACATGCATATATACAGTGAGCTGAAAAATGACAACACAAGATGAAGTTTTGGTGAAAAATAATCCCGCCAAAGAATCAGGACATGTCATTCCTTAGAATATGTTACACTAGAAAGCTAGTAAAAATTCAGGCCAACAAGGCAATTTAATTTCATGTTTTTATCACATATGGGCCAAGCTCTAGAATACTTCATCTAAAAAGGGACAACTTCAATGTGAAATCTTGCCAGAGGCTTGATATGTGTATATACAAATTCCTCTGTTTTCACATTCAACATACTCTGGATTAATTCTAGAAAGCTTCTGTAGCTGATTGATAAGACAAAATTATTTAGGCTCAGAAAGAGAAATCAGAGCAAATAATCAGAAGTAGTATCCCCCTATGTATCCCATCTATATTTATCACAAGGTTTTTGTTTTCTAATGAACGCCATAAATGAAAACATAGAAGTTGATACTAAAGGCAGGAATTAAGAAAAAGTCATTTTTTTCAATGGCTTTTAAGCACTTGAATGCTTTAGAACTTCTTCAAAATGCTAGTTAACGGGTAATATTCCTTTGGATGTTGCTTTAATTTGAAGCTTGGTGAAATCCAGATCTTTCCATAAAGAGTTCCAGGTTCATTTGGGTAAGAGAACAATTTAAAATCTGTAACAACTATTCCATTGAATCCTATGAGGGGATTTTAGCATGTTGCTGTTTTGGCCAGAGAAGCATTTCAACAACTTTAGGCAAACCAAGATAAAAAACAATGGCTGAGAACTACAAATGGAACCTGAGTAAGGCAATTCTACTACGTAAGGAAATTTCATTTCTGAACTTTTTTATACACTGACATAATTTTTTTTTAAAGATGATCTACCTGGTTCTTCCACATTTAAACAGTGTATGAAATGCAAATCAAATGCAAAGATGTGTATGTATGGAGAAATTTTGTGCATCCAAAACCATCTGTGTGCGTGGAAGTCTTGTCATTGCATTGCTTTGTGTTGTCCTGGCTTCGATCATCCTCAGGCCACTGAAGGGCCGGGATGTCCACCTGTTCAGCACTCTAACTCCTCCATGACTTCCATGACGATCGTCCGAGGGCCCGTCAGAATCAGATTGCTCACCGTCCGGTAGTCAACATGCAGCACATTGAGCCCATTTACAGAGACGACAAACTGACAGACCTAAAGGACAGATGAAGAGAAAGTATCTATTACAGCTCCTGCTTTTCCATAGACTTCTAATGAAATCATTGTGTATCTCTAATGTCTAACATCTCTTAAAATACCCAACTGCCCCTAGCTGAAGACAACAATTTCCAAGAATCTATGCTTTTCCTGGAAGGTGATGTAAGATATAAAGAGAAAGCATTTGCCTTAGTGTTTCACAAAATTAGGATTAAATCCTAATTTAGCAACTTACTAGCTGGAGCTAGGTATTTAAATTTCTGAGCTTCATTTCCCTCAACTCTAAACTAGAGATGATTAATAATAATAATAATAATAATAATACCCACCTTATAAGATGTTGTAAGAATTAAAGGAAGTGAAGTACATCAAGTTTCTGCAGTGCTCTATGCCAATGGAGTACTCAATACATTTTTACAGTGTTTAGGGATGTTATTCATTTGGAGTCAATATTTAGGGAGCCCCTATGGCCCATGATTCCCAAGACAGCCCTCTTTTCCACCTACTGTTTCTGAAAGATTATTAATAGTGCTTCCTTTCACTTGCCAATGTGTCCCCATTGAGATGATAAATTTCATACCTTTCCCTATTTCCATCCCTTATGAAAGTGGATGAGGCAAATAAAGGTCAGCTTTTACACCAAGTATTAGTTAACCCGTGATAGGAAAGAGAATTACAATAAAAAAATGAAGTACCATTCAATAATGAGAGACCATAGTGAGCTTGAGAATGATCTACAGCTACTGCCTTAAAGGGAGGTACTTCACTTGAGGTTAGTGGTGACATCAGATGCTGGGTACTTTCTTATTTAGCTGACACAAAATAACAGTTAGTATATCTGTTGTGTGTCTAAAGAGGCAGACATGGGACATTCAAATGATTTATGTCCCTCAAATAGAAAAATGGAGAGACACAGATCTCCAGCTGTCAGTGATAAGGACATCTAATTAGCAAAACAGAGTCCCACAGAATGTAAGTCTGTATAGTACCTGGCACATAGGAGATACAATATCCCCAACCCCCAATGATGTCTATGTCCTAATCCCTGGAACCTCTGAATATTTATTTACAGGGCAATGGGGAGTTAGGGTTCCAGATGGAATAGGTTGCTCATCAGCTGATTTTAACATTAGGAGATTATCCTGAGTCATCTAGGTGGGCCCAATGTAACTGCAAAGGTCCTTATGAGAGAGAGAGACTTGCAAGCCAAAGGCAGAAGTAGATGTCAGAACAGAAGCAAGAAAGTGGAGAGAAAAGAGAAAGGGGCCAGGAACCAAGAAATGTAAGTGGCGTCTATCAGCTGGAAAAGGCAAGGCAGTGGATTCTCCCCTCCAAAAGCCCAGAAGGAATGCAGACACGCTCACACCTTTAGATTTCTGACTCCAGAGCTAGAGCAATACATTTTCTTTGTTTCAAGCTGCCAAGTTTATGTCAATTTGTTACAGCAGCAATAGAAAAACCAATGCAGTAACCCAATAAATATTCATTGTTGAATGAATTGAATGTATAAATGCATTAAGCAAAAAAAGCACAATTTTGATTGACTCTGAAGGGTTTCTTGCTTCTTATAAATTATCCCCTCACTGAATAAGAAAATAAGAAAATAAAAAGGAGGAAAGGAAAGAAGACAAAAAGGAAGAAGGGAAAGCAGATTGAGATAGGGGAAGGAAAGGAGATTCTCTGGTTGAGACTGACTGATTGAATGTCTCCCATATCTGTTGTTATCATCATATTTCTTTATAATCCCCAGTAATTAATATGCATATCTGATTATTAATTAATTGATTTAGTGTTAATGACTCAAAGAATAGGAAAATATGAAAACAGTTTGAAAATCATTATTTCCTTTTCTTATTTTCTGAGTGGGTAATAACTATCAACTCAAACACTGTATTGATACAATATAAATAATATGAATTATAAATGTTTAAAACACAAAATATATTTTAAATATAAAAATAAAATTAAATCTATAAATTAAATATAATAAAACACTATATTATTAAGTGTAAAAATACCTATCCTATTCCTCAAACCAATATTGGAAAGTATTAGAAGGGCAGCTATAGATGGAAAAGATGTGGGATTTGGAATTTAATCCTAAGCATTTAAGTCTTTGGCTCCTTTTGTTTGATGACCTTAATCAAGTCATGTCTTCTCTACCATGTCTCAATTTATAAAACAGGGTTAGGTAAAAATACTTATCTGCACAGGCTCAAATTAGATAATGAATTTAAAGCCTCTTTGCACATGTCAAGCACTACACTGTTGGTTTCATGAATTTCTTTCTCTTTAAAAATACCCAGTTTCTCTGTGGTCACATGCAAAACAAAATGGAAAGTGGACCGTGGTAAGCAAAGTGGTTATTTACATAATGAACACTTTCTATTGTCATGAACCTCAATATTTTCCACTCCCAACCTACACAGCCATGGCATCCTCGTATGTAAGGAGACCATACCATCACTGTTTCTCCTTTCCCATTTCCATAAATCTGTCCTCATGGATTCAGGGCACATGTTGTATAGAATCAGCAGTTCTGGGCGCCTGGGTGGCTCAGTGGGTTAAGCCTCTGCCTTCGGCTCAGGTCATGATCTCAGGGTCCTGGGATCGAGGCCCGCATCAGGCTCTCTGCTCAGCGGGGAACCTGCTTTCTCCTCTCTCTCTCTATGCCTGCCTCTCTGCATACTTGTGATCTCTCTCTCTGTTTCAAATAAATAAAATCTTAAAAAAAAAAAAAAGAATCAGCAGTTCTCAACCATGATAGAAGTCATAGTCATAATCAAAGTCATACTAGCAGGTTACAATCCCTCCTGAAGTAGGCCATGGGTAATTTGCAAGGCAATTGAGCACTAATTTAAAGTAAACATTCGTGGTGCTTTGTTTTTTCTGTTCCAGCATACTCATGAGCCAAAGGATAAGAGAAAGTCCACTCCCTCCTGATCCAGAGTGCTGACTTTAGACCCGGGTCTTTCTTTCCTCCAAAGAGATGAATAGTCTTTTTGTGATGCCAAATGAGAAGGCAGTAGTTGCCAGGTGAGCTCACATTCCAGCAAAACCTTCATGGGCTCTGGAAGGAGAGATGTGTCTCAGCATCACCAGGGATTACCTCTAGCATTTAGTCTCAACCAGAATTATATTCTGTCTCTCTGACACACTGGTTGTTTTCACTGACCAACACTTGAAAAGTAGGAAATTTCCACATAAACATCTAGGATCTAGCTTCTCTGGAACAATCTAAAGCTCTAATAACATCAGGTCAGGATGGCCACTTGCCAATGGCTGAGTAGGGGCTAACCCTAGTAGATGTTCTCTTACTTGCCATGGTCCACACTGGTTTGTGTTTCTCTGCCACCTAGCAGACGGACATTGGAGTCTATGTCCCTGATCTGGGGCCACCAGAAGCAAAGAGCTGAAGAGAGGGAGACTTGGTACACCAAGAACCAAAGGATGCCAAATGTCCACTGATGGATGAAAAGAGAAATAAAATTTGGTATATCCATATCATGGAATATCATTCAGCAATAAAATGGAATCAACCTTGCGCTACAACATGGATGAACCTTGAAAACATGATGCTAAGTGATAGAAGTCAGTTGCAACAGACCGTATTTGTATAAGTCCATTTATATAGAAAGTCCAGAACGGATAAATGCACAGAGAAAGAAAGTAGATTAGTGGTTGCCTAAGGCTAGGGCATGGGGAGGTATGAAAGGGTGTCTAGTCCAGTCAAACTGTAACCAACTTGCAATCCTCAAAAATGATTGTTTTATTAAAAAAAAAAAAGTGTAGGGCTTCTTTCAGAGGTGGTGCAGTGTTCTAATATTGATTGTGGAGATAGTCACATGACTCTGTGACTATGCCCAAAATAAGTGAGATATACACTTTACACAGTGTATGAATTATGACTCAACAAAGATGTTATTAAAAAGAAGAATTGGAGGGAAGGGCGGGCTGATGCCAGCAATTCATAGATCTCTGTAGACTGGAGAGGGTGGATGCAGGATTGGTTGAAAGAAGGGGTCTTACAGACCTCCTGATTGCAGGGGCTCTTGGAGGTTCAAAACTGGAATGGTAAGGGCTGTGTGATTGGGAGGATGAGCCCTCCGTGGCCGCTGCTCAGGACCTATGCCCTGGAGTTGAGAGGTGGAAAGGGGGCAGGCATCAGGGCCAGTTGGACAAGGACCATGGGCAGCACACTGGTCAAAGTCCTTCTTATTGGGGTGCCTAAACCCCAGGATGGGCACCGGGGGAAACAACATAATCCCAAAGGGGAAGTCATGGGCAATGGGACACCAAAACAATATTATATTGGACTTGTCATCAACCTTGGTGAGTGGTGACTTGATCTGCACTTGATTTTGGAGAAAGGTCATTTTGGGGGTACCTGGGTGGCTCAGTCCGTTAAGTGTCCAATTCCTGATTTCGGCTCAGATTATGATCTCAGGATCGTGAGATGGAGCCCCACATTGGGCTCTGCGCTCAACAGGGAGTTTGCTTGGGATTCTCTCTCTCCCTCGCTCTCTGCCCCTCCCACTCATACTCTCTCTTTCTAAAATAAGTACATCTTTAGAAAAGAGAGAGAGAGAGAGAATCTTGAGCAGACTCCACACTGAGCCTGGAACCCAACATGGGGCTCCATACCAGGACCCTGAGATCATGATCTGAGCTGAAACCAAGAGTTGGATCTTAACTGACTCTGTCCCCCAGGTGCTCCAATAAATCATTCTTTTAAAAAATTTTCTTTTGGGGTGCCTGGGTGGCTCAGTGGGTTAAAGTCTCTGACCTCGGCTCAGGTCATGATCCCAGAGTCCTGGGATCAAGCCCCACGTTGTCAGGCTTTCTGCTCGATGGGAAGCCTGCTTCCCCCTCTCTCTCTGCCTGCCTCTCTGCCTACTTGTGATCTCTGTCTGCCAAGTAAATAAATAAAATCTTAAAAAAATATATTAAAAATTTTCTTTTATGGTAGCTGGTTTCTATCACTGGCCACCCATGATCATCAGTATAATGCTTATGAACAAACTGAGTCTTAGAGGTTAAGTTTTTGCTCAAGGTTACACAACTAAGTGCGACTTCTGGAATTTGAACTCCATATGACTCCACAGCCCCACATAAATACAAATTTATAAAGTACAAGTTATATATGCAAGTTTGAGGAATGCAGATAATAGTAGAAGACACATGTTTCTTCTCTTTGCTTTAACTATTAATTAAGCAGTGTAGGTCTGCTCAAATAGCTTGTGATGTCGACAAGTGATATTTTGGGTCTTCCACCTGCATAAAAAGGTTTTTACTCAGTTAATCTTGGATTGCTTTTGTGCCACTTAAAGTCCTGAGCGATATATGAACTTACATATTTATTTCGATTTTTTTTTTCTTGAATGATGAGGGGAAAAAAGCCTTCCAAACATTCATCATGCTTGTATTCAAGGTGGTATTTTTGGAGTCAGTCTGTTAGTAAAAACGTCATCTCTCCCTAAGTGGTTCTCACAACTGTTGTGGCTCCTGCAGTTCCAATGTCCTGTTACTAAAAATGTGCAAAATGATCTGGAAATGCAGGTAGAATTGCATAACGTATTCAGTTATGACAGACTTTGAATTAGCATCTATGGTACACTCTGTTCTGCAAATAAAGACATATTACAAGTAACCACAGGAAGTACACAGCCTGGGGAAAATGTTTTTCTCTTCTGTATTAAAAAGCTCACACATACAATAAACAGAACATGTGACTAGATCTACATTAGGTACCGTATTACCTACTACCTAGGTTCAGGGAATGTAGACGCCACCCGTAGGCGGAAATGAGAATTTAAGTGAGGGTGTGATACTTTTCTTCTGCTTATAATTACCTTTATCAGATCTATTTTCAAAGATTTTATTGCAATTCTCTCATTTCCTGGTTCACAGAAAAGAGATCAAGCATGAGGTCATGTAGCTGCTCTAAACTCGTTTCCTCCAAGAACGGTGGTACCTTGACTTTATATAGAAGGGATATGGAGGATGTCATCCTTAATGAGGAGGAAGAAGAACACCTTCGTAAGTCATAGGTAAGTGATTTCTGAGCAAGAAGGCAGTGGAGAAAAGTCCTAGAAACCATGGTAGGTCTGGTAAGAGTTAATGGGAAGACAGGGGTAGGACTCAGTACATTTCAGGGTGTGATCAGGTTGGGATGAATACCTAGGCTGAACTCCAGCTTCTCTCCTGATAAGGAGCCAAAACAACTAAATAATCTTGCCTCTAATTCCTCTCCTGTGCCAGTCCTCCCGGCAGACGCCAGACAATCCTACAGATGGATTGAGTGCCCCTGCATTGCGCAATTGCACATTCGTCCTTGTATGGCTAGCGTTCCATCACAATCATTCAATTGTTATCCAAAGTGCGAGTGAGGCTGGAAAGAAACACTACACCTATGATTACATAAGTGTCTTCTTCCTGCCACGGAAATCTGTATTCACCGGCACACTCGCATCCCTGAAATGACTGCGCTCATGTGAGAGCTACCCTGGCTTTTCTCTTCCTTTTCCTTGTGTTCTTGAAGGAGAAAAGATTGGAGGGTAAGCCTGTTTGAGGCTTTCCCTCAAAATAACAAAACAGTTGGCAAGACAGAGACCAAGAGACAAAGTTTTAATACTATGATTATAATATGATTAATTGATACAAATTTCAAAAGTAGGCAACTAGCCTTATCTTAGCATTCCTGGGTAGTAGTTTCACTAGCAGCTCATTTTGTAACAAACTGAGATGTGCCTAAATAATATGTACATTTTCTATATAGTGCAATAGAATTGTTTTAACTCTAACCTTTATAATTTACGAGTAATGGGACTTTGGGCAAGTTATAAATACCCCGAGTTATGCTTTACTCATCTGTAAAATGGGGATCAAGTTTATTATGAGGATCAAATCTGATTAACTACTAAGCCCCGTGTTTAATAATAGTGAAACACTAAATAAATATTGGTTTTTCTCTTCTGTCCCTCTTCACACACAACCTCTCCCCGCAAACAGCCTCATGAATGCAGATTGTTGAAACGAAAAGAAAAACCAACCATCGCATGGTGATTACCCAAGAAAGCCACCTTGGGTTCTGGTTTTGGGAGACGGAAATAGACACTGAGTTGGTATTATTTACTGAGATAAAATATGAAAAATAAAGATAAAAATCAATCCAGGGTGATAAGAGAGATTTTTCCCTAAGCTAAGAGTATCCCGCAAGGTTAGAGAATCCAGAAACCACTGTAAACAGTCAGCATAATTTTAAAGTAAATCGAGTATAGAATTCCTTAAGGCATCCTTGGTCCTGTCTGTACAATATTCATTTTAAAAAGACGATGCAGAACTAAAGTAAGCTGAGTCAGAATGTGCTCATTACTTCTACAGAATGAATTCCTTACATCTATAGAATGCTTTATGTTTGCAAAAACATTCACATTCAGCAAGGATACCAGGAGTTTTAGACACTGCTGTAGTAAATAAGTTGTGTGTCTATATTTAGTGCATAATAGCCTTGACAGTGGAACATTGTTCTTGGGGAGCGGAAAAAAAAAAGAAAGGATTTGCAGCTGTATGTTTAGTCCCATAAATCTGTTCACCAAATATGCAACTGGCTGGAGAGCGAGTGGTGTGGGAGGCGGCAGAGATCCAGTTCTTAGACAAACACAGGATCCTCTCTCCAGAGAATTCGTTTTCCTCTAAGCTTTATGCATGTTCAGCACACTATAGGGCCCTGTGATGTCCCCAAAGAACAGACTGTGCCATCAGCCTTGAAGGAAAGTCAAGGATATGTTACGAGTGACTTTCCCAATAAAACAACAACAAAAAGCAACACTGAAGAATTTTTGTTTCCGACTGAGGAATGCCAAGTGCCTGCTGGTTTCTAGCAGAATCTGCCCCCTTCCAGCCCAAGTCGACCACAGGTCTGCTTCAGATCCAGGCTCACCCTTAGTTCACTTTGCTCCATTGTGGGGGGAGGGGCCGGTCATGGGGGACTGCGGCGTACTTCAAGGACGGGGAGATATGGGGTCCACTGAACTTAGGTTTCCAGATTTAGGATGAAAATTTGCCTTCCAGGAGGTTCCTCTGGAAATGGGGTTGAGGCTAGATGGAGGATTTGTGGCCTGTCCTGGTGCTTTATACCCTTTCCCACATGCTGCTCTGGATTCCCTGGGACCACTTCCAAGATCTGCTTGTGCTAAGGCCAGACAGCACACTCTTGACCTGGTGGGTCCCCGAGGTTATAAGCAGCGTCCAGGCACTGAAGAGAAGCAATGTACGCACATTATAACCACAAGATTCCTTGGAATTCCTTTACTACTGAAGGAAAGGAATCTGCTATCTGGGAGCCTTTGAATACCACAGAGGATATGCAAATTATCACTCCTACCTTGCCCCCCCTGACAAAGTTGGCTTGCACTCTGGATACGGAAAGTTCCTTCGAATTCCAAGAATGGCGAACTGGGGTTTCCAGCAGCAGGAGACACACACTCCCAACGCCATGTGTTAACTCCCACGGGAGCTCAGGGCTAAAAGGAAAGAGGCTCCGAAGGTCCAACTTCCTCCCTGACCCCAAATTCTTTCCTCCACAGAAACCTTTTACCCAATTAGCTATTTGCCCTTAGAATGCTTTTTATTATTAGGCACTTAACACCCAGAAATGATTATGCTTTTTTTTTGGACTATGCTAAAAAGCAAAATGAATATAGTAAAAGTTTTAAAAGAGACTAAACAAGAGGCAATACACAGTAAGGTTATTCATCAGGTAGACAATCACGTTTTTCATATACTATTGTACTCATAAGAGGTGATCTATAGTGTGTTGGTAATATTATCTAATCTTTTTTTTTAAGAATTTATTTATTTATTTGACAGAGAGAGTGAAAGAGCACAAGCAGGCAGAGCAGCAGTGGGAGAGAGAGAAGCAGGCTCCCCACTGAGCAAGGAGCCTGATGGAGGGCTCAATCCCAAGACCCCAGGACCACGACCTGAGCCGAAGGCAGATGCCCAACCAACTGAGCCACCCAGATGCCCTGATATTATCTAACCTTTAAGAGTGAACCAAAGTCTCATTCTTTTTATTCTACCCCCAAGGTCGTGCCGCTGTGATTGGAGCTGAGAACAAAGTGGTGTGTATGCTTGTGTACTTCGCAGAGATAGCACAGGTCACAAGTAGGTGGTAGTATTCTGGGGGGAAGGGAAGTAAACGGGTTGAAAATAGGTCTAAGATGGAGTGTGGTCTTTGTGAGCACGTTATCTGGACTAAGTAACCTCAGAAATTCTTTGTCATGGTCGCTGGGAGCTGAGTACCCCTGGCAGAGGAAACTATGCCTCTGTTTCTTCTCTAGAAACTCTTATTTTACCAGTACATGGGGCTATATTTGGGACCAAGTGATCTGTGGGCCAAGGACAGGGCTGCCAATCAGGCTCCTCAGGACCCTCTCAGTTTAGGGACTTGTACTGAAGGACCTGGGGAGGTTCCATGCTGACTTGGCTAAAGATTGGGAGTAAACCCCACCCCACTCCCACCTCCCGGGGTCTAGCAATAAACAGTAGGTATGGCCTTTGTGTTATGTTATGGATCATAACATCTTTAGGAACATTGCACACTGTATGGCTTTGAAGACTGGGGTTCTGTCCAATATCTCCATTCCTAGAGAAACACCTAATCCCTGGCAGAGTTGGTAACAGACTTTGCCAAGATTAGCCCAGGTGGAAAAATTGAGGACCAGAAAATTAAATAATCCCAACACATTTGGAGGGTACCATGATACGATGGAAAGACCAAGGGTTCTGGAAACAGACAGACCTGGGCTAGTTTGGCTTTTGGCTCTTCCATTTACTCACACAACCAGAGGCTATGACTCAAATTCTGTCAGTCTCAACTAGAAAATAGAGCTAATATCCAGGTTATAGGGTTGGGACAAAGATGAGACAGATGATACACATTAAGCAACCGTCACTGTGCTCACCGTGACGCCCAACTAAAATGGGTTCCTTCTTCCTGTTATCCCTGAAGAACATACCAGACATTCCATTCCATTAAGTGGTCTCCCCTCCTGGGCCAGCTCCCACACCCACGCATGTTTACTTGAATGCCAAACCACTGGATTCTGAGCCAGGACTGAACAGCTTCGCTAAGTCTTAATGTGAGAAGGTGATTAATTTATAGGTTAACCCAGGAAAATGGGCTTCCATTCTGGGCATTCAGAAACGATCCAGGAAAGCGTCCCAGATGGCCATAGTCAGTTTGGTCCTATTGCTTCCATCTTTCATAAAGTACCTGAGATGAGTCATGTTATGCACAGAACCAGAGTTTGCTAGAATGAGGTGTTTGTTTGTTTTTTAAGTTTAGAGAGAAGAGACCAAACATGGGACTCCTATTTTAATTACTTCCTCTGTCTTGGGTCCCTACCCCAAGGAGCCAGAGGGAACAAAGAGATAGTTTTTGCTTACAGAGACAATGGTAGAAGCAACTCTAGAGGTATATAATCTAATTTCACATGCGGTAGCAAGTACTGGGTACAATTCCTTGAGGTCATCCTCTTCATCCTCTCTCCTCCTTGACCAGATGGATCTCATATTCAGGGTCCCCACCCCTTCCTTGTATTTGTACTGGGGATATTCTGCGGGCCTGATATTAGGAAGGGCATGAATATAATATATCGGCCCCTTGGCCAAGCCAGAACTACATTTCCCAGATTCCCTTTCCAGTGTGCTTCCAGGTCGCAGTGGCCACAAGGAGAAATCTGCATCCTATGTGGGAAGCAGAAGTAAGACAGCGAACATCACTCATGGTTGCCGTGGTTAAAGACCGTGAGAGGCTGACACAGGTGCCATGGAGGCGTTCCGGTCTGTTGTTCCACATTCCCCGACTGATAGCCCTCTGACCAATTGTGGTGTCAAGCCTCCCATCGACAAGGAGGTCACCGCCTTCCAGATTTCTTCACCAGCTTCCCTTACAGTCCCATTCCAGAATGTTTGGAAACGAACGTTCGGGTCACCCAACCGGAAATCAAGTTTTGGGAGCCATAAACAACCAAGGTGTCTGCTAATACATATGGAAAATGTTGTTTTTTTTTTTTTTTTCCAGCTATTTCTCTGTATACATCCTATTTCCACAAGATCAGAAGCTCCTGACAAGAATGACCTCAGACTCTCCACAGAGTCTGAGACCCCTAAGTTGTGTTCCACACAGAGTGCAGCCCTGTGCCCTGCGGCTCAAAATTCCGGTGCACACAGACACGGGGACCCCTTGGTCCTCTGCCTCCTCTGACCTAGCTAAGGCAGGAGACAGTCATGCCACCAGTGGGCCTACAAAGATATGGTGTGTGCCTGGTCCTGATTACTCTGGCTCTGTGAATTTGACCTCGCCAACCCCAGCTGAGGGTACGTGCAGGTGGCTACCCTGCCTGGAACACAGCCCCGTAAGGGTCCCACGGTCCCACTGTAGTAACACAGCTGATCACACATAGCCACAACAAAGGCAGCTTTTTCCTTGGAGGTGCCGAAGGGCTCTGCGGGCCCTCTCTAAGCAGATCTCTGACTTTCCCAGCCCAGCAAGAGAGCCCCCTTTAACACCTCGCTTTGTGAACTTTTCATCAGTTAGCACAAGCTTCTGCCTAATCTGGGTGACTAGACAGATCTAGGTATGAGGAGAGGTTCCTCGGCAGAGAAACATCACCTCTTCAAGTGAAAGACTCCACATATATTTGAATTAAAAAGTAGCTGACCTCCACCAGCCTTCAACTTTCCTTGGCCCGGTAGGCAGTCTATTTCCTTTTTCTTCCAAAAAGCCTCTGCATCTCTAAAAGAACCTGACACAGTGCAATTTTCCCAGGGTACAAGGCCACAGTTGTTAAGTGGCAACCTCACCATCAAATGCGGCTGAAACTCCATCCCGAAATTCCATCCCGAGGTATGGGACATGTAACGAGAGCTGTGTTTTACGCCGGCGGCTGGGGGAAGCTGGGTTTCTTGACCCACACATGGCACCACATAGTTCACAGCAGCCCAGAAGTCAGCCTGAGGAATAACTGTGCGCAATCGGTGTTACTGAGGTTTACGGGCTGCTTCTTGGCTTGTTCTGCTTTGGGCCAATTCTGATATCAAGTGGAGCTAATGCATTTCCAAATGTGCTTGTCACTGAGACACTGCAAGTTAATCCCTCCAGACCCAAAGTACACTGTCCGAATGTCTTCGCAGCGCATTTCAAAAACAAACTATATGGAATGCTGTCTTCCCTTTGAATTTCAGGCATGAAAGTCAGGGCAGCCTCTTATGCAACCACAGGACGAGATCAGGTAGCACTGTATCCACCTTTTGTGAAGTCTGGATGATAATTCTCACTTTTGGCCACTACACATTTAAGTCGTCTAGGAGTTTCCACAAAGCGCCCATATCCGGGCCTCAGCCCAGATCAACTGTGTCCGTATCTTTGGATATGTTGGAGGAGTTTCCCAAGTGATTCCGATGTACAGGGAGGCCGGAGAAACACTGGTCTGGGCATTCATTCAAGGAGGTTTGTGCTCTTTCTTATGCTTTTTCTAGACAAGAAGATTCTATGTAAGCCCGGTTCCCCGAAATGGGAATGCAGGGCACACCAAGAGCTGCCATTCACTTCTCACTTGACCCTGAACAGCTTTCCTTGGGTCTTGATTTTCCTGCATGTAAAACGGAGTTTATAATACACACTCACTTCTATTTCAGGGAGTTATGGGAATACAATGAGGAATGTGCGTCTCCATCATAGGAGTCACAAAAGCAAGGCACTATTAGTATAAAAATTATTATTAATAATAATTGACCATAATATAAACTCAAATAGCCCAAATCATATTAGTTACTAAAAGGACTACGATGGTAGGGGTGGGGTATAGGAGGGATAGAAACAGTCTAAATTGAATGTCCACGGGCCAAGCATTGAGTTGATCCATCGTACACAGTAACTAGCATGATCAGGTCCTAGTCCTGGTTTTCTCACGTAACCCTGGGTGAGTCAGTTCATTTAGGTGGGATTCACTTTCCTTACTGATAACATGGGAAGGTTAGACTGGGAGATTCTTATCCCGGGATCCACGAATAAATTTTGGATAATCCGTGAACAACATTAAACTGTGTGCAAATGTATGTCTCTCTCTCTCTCTCTCTCTCACACACACACACACACACACACACACCCAACTTTTTTTTTGTTTGTTTTTCTGAGAAGAGGGTCCATAGCTGTCACTGAACTCTCAAAGAGGCATATGACCCCAAGATAATATTAAGAATCAGCAGAATCTCTAGCTCTAAGCTTCTGATTATTGATAGAGAAAATAATACCTTCCATTGTTGTTGGTAATTCAACAGACATTTATACGATGTTGCATTTCAAACACATTTCATTTATAAAGATAGTCAATGAAAATCCTGGACAAGAGCCAAGAATAAAAGGAGAACCGACAAGCATTAATCACATAACCACAATGGCTTTCGTCCCCTCCCAGAAATCAAACTAGGCTGAAGATGATATCATGTCACAAAAGACCCAGAAGACTTGCACTGGCCTAGAGAGGTACTGGGGCCAGACCATCCTCGGGGGTCTGCCAGCCCGGAGATTCTGCACATCCTGCCCTCTAATTCCACCGTGGGACTGGTGGAAGGAATATGGATTTGCATGGGGGCTGGAGAACAGATGGGGCAGAAAGTAAAGTCTTAGCTCAGAGAGAGACGTCTCTACAGTATGGGACTCAGCCAGAACAAGCACTTGTCAGTGTCAGACAAAACACAGAAGAAGGAAAAACCAGATATTAAAGCCCAGGGTAGAACAAGGCGTCTGGTGACGTTCGGTCCAGACTTTGCTTAAGGCTCTCCACAAGCACATCGTCGGGACCCATACTTGCTATCAGGAGACACCAGGATGCATGCTTCTGGGCTTCCAGCCAGAACACATTCATTCAGAAGTCCAGTTTGATGCTGGGGATCATACTAACATCTTAAAGATCCACAGATTTGGGCTGCTCGGATCTTTGGGACACAGAAAGTTGAGAGAAGGCTGTGTTCTTTCTAGTTCCGCCCTTTCACTTTTAAATGGCTCAGTGATTTGGATTTCTCATTTTGCAAGAATGCCATCCATCAGTGTCATGGAACCGGGGGACACAGCTGTACAATAAGGACCACTGCAGAGGGGCCTCAAATGCAGTATTACGCTTCTGGCCCAGGATCCTCTAAAGCCCTGTGTTATTAAGGGTATTTCTGGCTTCTATCTTCTCTTGATAAAAGCCATTCCACTCATAAACAATAATGATTCCAAAGCATATGATCTAGACCCAGGCATATCTGAATTCCCATGTAGTCAAAATTCTTAAACCTCCAAACCTCATTATTTTCCCCAGCTGTAGAAAGGGAGACAATACTCTGTCCCAGGACAGAGGTGATTGTAAATGAAAGCCCAGAGATAATGCACCTAGCATAGTGCCTAGCATGTAATGTTACTCAACAAATACTGTTTTAATTATCGTAGGGCTGTTTTCACTTGTCCTCCACGAAATCTACTGAAAGGGTGGGACATGTGCTCCCAGATGGAAAATCTATCTTCTTTTGCAAATATGTTCAGTGCTGTCTGCCTCTTTATCTGACTGAAATGATGTATTGTCTAGACATCACCTGACATGCTCAAATTCTTTTAAAAAATAAAGATGAGGATGGACTCTGTACCGGCAAGGTGCTGGGGATTTTCAGATAAATTATCTTGTTGTTGCATATTATATTATACATTGTATATTTATATATACATATATATATATATACACACACACACACACACACCATATATATATTATATTATATAGTACATATTATATTTGTCCATCTACCTAAGACTATAATGATGGGGCCTTGGGAATCAACTTCCAAGGATTTATTTAATACCTTAGAAATAGTAAGACTTGAATAAATGGAAACCAATTGACTGGGATTTCTAAAAAAATTTCTGAGCACCTGTTAAGGGTCACGTGGTGTGGCAAGGGCTAGAATGAAATCTCACTGACTACCTGCTATATTAACAAGCCTTTCTATTCTAGTAAAGCAGAGACAGTGTCTGGATCAGAGTTTCCACCATCCCTGGCCACAGAATTTAACTTGTTGACTCAATAAACATTTATTGGAAATGTAGTAGAAGAAGAATTAGATGTTATCCTTGGATTCATAGAGCGTGTATCCTAGAGGAGGATTAGAAAAAGACAAATAGGGGCGCCTGGGTGGCTCAGTGGGTTAAAGCCTCTGCCTTCGGCTCAGGTCATGATCTCAGGGTCCTGGGATTGAACCCCGCATTGGACTCTCTGCTCAGTAGGGAGTCTGCTTCCCTTCCTCTCTCTCTGCCTACCTCTCTGCCTACTTGCGATCTCTGTCTGTCAAATAAATGAATAAAATCTTTTTTTAAAAAAATGGGAGAACTCCCTAAGTTCTCCTTTAAGAAAAAGACAAATACTTATCTGTGAAGGAAATAAGCAGGGAAGGAAGAAAGAGAAAAACGAGGGGCTCAGCAGATACCGCAGAATTTAGCCACCCTACTTCGGCCCAACCTCTCTTTCTCTTGCCCTATAAAAGGTGGAGAATGAAATATTGAAATCCTCAGCACCCCCAGGTGTTTGGCACGCAACACAATTTTAGCCAATGAGATACGGGTGTGAAAACGCTACGAAGACGTTCCATCCCCACTGAAGAGGAGGAGACCTGTAAGGGGAGGTGTAAAAAATAAGGAGGGATCCCGTGACAAGCTGCGAGAAGAGAATCCTAAGAGGAAGGAGTGGCAAGTGCAAAAGGCCCGTGGAGAGAAAGCAATCACTGGTTTGAGGATCTACAAGGTGATGATGGAGGGGAGCAAGGACGAGAGCGGCTAGGAGGTAAGATTTGAAAGATAGGTGGGGGTAGGTTCATGTGGGACTATGTAGGCCATGGTAAGGTCTTTAGATTTCATGCTAAAAGCAACATGGACACAATGAAGGATCTCAAGCAAGAGAGTGGCAGAACTAGATTTCCTTTCGTTGCAACATGGGAGACAGACGATAAGGCTACAAAATCACATGTAAGGAGACCAATTAGGGCCACAGTAGTCCTGGTGAGAGAGGGCAGGGGTTTGGAGGAGGGGAAATGAAGACAAACAGATGCATTCGAGATACATTTTGGAAGTGTCTTGCATTGGAGGAAGAAGAGAAAAACAAGCAGGACTTCTAGGTTTCTGGGCCAAGCAGTTGGGTGGAGGGTCATGATATGGCCGGGGATGCAAGAGGCTGGAGGAGGAGGAGGAGGAGGAATGTGCAAAACAAAGCATTCAATCAACTCAACATCCATAATTCCTGCTTTAGTGATCCGACCCTCTGCCAAACGGATGTTTTCCCATCTTGTTCTCCATCATTTTACTTTCTCTCACAGGCTCTCCCTTGAGAACCACAAGCTATAACTATAAGATCAACAACATTTCATTTCAACCGGCAGAATAAGAGCAGTGGGTGGAATTAAGAGACTCTGATGCTGAAGGCAACGGGCAGACTCAGCACCTGACTTCAGAGTGCTCCTCCTGGGATTCGGAAAATGAATGAAATGTGCAAACCTACAGAAATTTGTATCTGAGACTCCAAGTCTTGCATCCGGTAATATGCCTACTAAACATACACATCACAGTGCATAACTAAATATTTGTGTGAATTACTAATATCTCCCTGGTCGCTAGACCGGAAACTTCACGAGGGCAGGGACCTCGCTGGCTTTACTTACCACTGGATCCCCACAGGGCACCGTAGGCAGTAGGTACACAGTCAATATTGCTTGAAGGATGTTTGTACAGCTTTTTATGGTCAGTGACAGAAACTACAAGTTGTCCCCTAGTATCCATTGTCTTTTCCCTCTTTATTTATTTTTATTTTTATTTTTTTTAAAGATTTTATTTATTTGACAGACAGAGATCACAAGTAGGCAGAGAGGCAGGCAGAGAGAGAGAGGAGGAAGCAGGCTCCCTGCGGAGCAGAGAGCCAGATGT